GCCTCCCCTCCTCTGTCCTGGGTGTATAAAGAAGCTCATTGTCCTCTTCGTCCCCAGTTTCCAGGCACTGAATGTGTCCGGTGTGGCAGGCTGCGAGAGGGACAGTGTTCTCAGTGACATGACATTCCTTGCAAATGGCAGCAGTTGCCCTTGGCAGCCTCCCACCCTCCACCCCCCCATCCCACAAGCCCCCAGCACAGTGAAGCTTCCTGGAGGAATGAGAGCCTCACAGTGTCAGTTTCGCACCATGTCAAAGCATCCGCTGTCCTGCAGCGCACACTGCTATCGCAAGTGTTAGTCGGGAAGGTCCCAGTTCCCTCTGCTGACCATAACAGATTACATAGCCTCTACTCCAAAGTGTACTCTAACAGGTGTACAGGTATATCAGTCCTTTCTTAGTAACTCAGACTTGTTTTCACTGAAAAACCATCAACACAACATGTCTGTCCATCCATTTTCTAATGGCTTTATCCAATAATCCAGTACAGGGTCTCAGTGGAGACAGGGCCCATACCAGCAGGTACGAGGCAGGGTACACCCTGGACAGGACACCAGTCCATCACAGGACACACAGACACACACAGGGGCCAATTTTCCCAGAAGCCAATTAACTTACCAGCATGTCTCTGGGCTGTGGCAGGAAACCGGAGGACCCAGAGGAAACCCATGTAAACAGCTCTGTGAGGCAGCAATGCTAAAACTGTGCCACTGTGCTGCTCTGACACAACGTGTTTAAATCAAATAACTCTCTCTGACAGGCACTCGCTTATCTGGTGACATAATCCCAAAGAGACAATGAGATACGAATGGTGTAAAGTACTGATACAGCATTTTTTCAGCCTCTTGAAATGTTGACCCTGTCTTGTGGCTAATATTGTGGATTGCTCAGTATCAGCATTATTGGATCTGATATACTGTATTCCATTCATTTAATAGAAGTAGAAATAATTTTAAAAAAATAAGCAGCGACTGCTTTCTTTGGCCTGCTGATTATGTATTACCACGGATGGCTCGTAGCTCTTGGGTCCTGGGATTGATTCAAGACTGGGCTCCTTCTGTGTGGAGTACGCATGTCCTGTCTGTAGCTCTGTGTGCTTCCTTTATGAGGTCCTCTTTCCCCCACCTGCCAATGACATGCGGAGGGAGCATCAAATAAAAGGAATGAGTTAAAAGGGAGCAAAAACAAGTCTTGAACTGCTCATAGGATTATCCAAAACGAGATCATTAAGATCCAACGATGTTCCATTGCTCCTCAAGTTCAAACATCAGGATCCAGGCGTTGCACAATGACTGGGCCATATTGCCTGGTTGGGGGTTTTACGCTCTGTAGTTCTGTGAAAGTGTTAGATTTTTTTAAATGCTGCTGCGTATCTCAGAATTTCACCGTGCCAAAAAAAAACAAACCCTGCGCTAGTCTCCTGGAGGAGCACACCCCTCACGCCTTCCCACTGGGAGAACTCCTCCTCTGTCTCCCAGAGTGCTCCCAGAGCACAGGGGCCAAGGGACCTGCTGCGTGCTCTGGCACGGGTTCTTGCAGGTGTAATTTTAGACTGTGACTGCAGCCTGGCAATTCTGCCCGGACTGGAGGGCTATAATTAGCCAGGATGATAGAGGAAGGGGGTGTGAATCCTGAAGCCAAGAAGCACAGAGAGGGATCAACAGGCTGCTCCAGAAGGCAGGGGTGTAGGGAATCATGGTTTTCTTTCCCTGTCACAGGGAAGTGCCTAACTAGTGAAAGGCAAACTTCTGTGCTTTTGAAAACAGCACTTTGCTTCTCCACAAACCTGGTTCCTTAGCAGGTGCTCTGTTCTCTGGACTGATCCCCATCAGGATATCAAGGAATGACACTCCCAACAGCCAGTAGAGGCATATAATCGGGGCCACATAAGACCAGCACAGTGCTGGGAGCGGGCCGGTCATCCCTATTGGAAAAGTCTGGGATATTGAGCGGGAATGTATCCAGACGGGCTCCCCGCGTGAGTATTCTGGAAGGATTGAATTGAAACTTGGCAGTAGTGCCCACTCCGAC